CCCCGGGAGCTGCCACCGAGCCAGCAGCCAGCCCGCGGCAGTCCCGACGGCACTCGAGAGCCCGCTCTAGGAGGTACAGCTCCCGCACTACTCAACAAGAAGTTCAACGCCACGAGAATCAATTGTACCCAACAAACGTGCATTGCAAAGCAGAAGTACTTCTCCTTATACAGAGAAATTAGCTTCCTACAGGCCTTGGGTTACTCTGACAGCACGCACGCCTGCCTTCGCCGACAGAAAACACAATCTTCCTTTACGTTAAAAAGTACATTTTACAGAGCTGTGCTGAAAGAAAAAGTGTTTTGTTCAAGGGAGTTTTGCTAAACCTTGGAAAGAATTCACATTTTTTAATCACAGTTGGCATTAACTTAAAGGTCCGTACCGCAAACTGGGGTCTGAGCTTCCCAGGTTGAGTAGTGCAATGTTGAGTAGCGTTCCAGGGACATCCTTAGGACGAATTTTGGTGTGCTGCGGGATGGAGTCTGGCTGTGACAGCTCCCACCGTGTCCGGATATGAATGATGGACCTAACGATGGCTTCGCACTCCTGGTGCATGAAGGTGAGTGGTGTGCCTTGGTTGGCAATGGTCAAGGTAAACTGGTTCTCATCAACAAGACATATTTCCTCAATTTCGGAGGCATAGTATATATCGTTTAAAAACACTGTTTGTCCCAGGACCCTCGTTCGTTCTGCTGATGTCACCTGCACAGCTGTCGACCCGACCTTCGAAAGAGAACAGAAAAACAGTTCAGCACCTGCTGTTAACAACGCAAGGAGAGAAACACCTGACACGTATAAAGACACACACATGAAATCTTATAATTCCTGAGAGGCATGCTAGTAAGTTGTGAATTCTCCTCAAGACAAGAGAGGAGAATTAAGAGACAGTAGTCATATTCAAATCCTTACAAAAATGTAACAACTCACTAGGAAGAATATTAAAATTACTTACTTTAATAGAAACTTTGGTGTCTTTATGAGCCAGTTTGAGAGCATTGTGAAACACTTTCAAGTCCTCCTCCAAAGCCAAGGTAGCTGCTGGGAGTTTCTGCTGGTCATGTTCAATGTGCTCTGCCAGTTTCCCTGGAGAGTCTATGAAAATAAGCCTTTTGCTTCCTTTCAAACCTGTCAAGAGCCTTTCGTGGTATTTGGTGTATTCTCTGACCCAAGAGTTACAGTTATAAATAAAAACCGCTGAGACATTTTCATAAGCAAAGCCTGGAAAAACTACAAACCATTTAGAAAGAAAGTCTGTTTTAAAGCGATTACTGGGGCCAGCGTGCGTGAGGTCCACTACAATTTCATATGGCTTTGCATAGTATGGCTTCAGAGTTAGCAGTACATGGTATATCAACAGATCTCCGTTGATCTGCCCAGTCTTGAATCTGTAAGAAAACAAGACAGACATCGCTGGGTTTGCATTTTTGATCCACGTTACAAGCATTCGAGCAGTGTATTACACATACTACCACTACAGGAAACCAGGCTGGCCTCTCACACGGTTCTAAAAACACCACCGAGCCAAAGCAACGAGACTGGACTGGCAGCTCCAGCCCAAAGGCATCTGTCACCGGTCTGTCACAGCTCACGCTCCAACCACGTTCACTGCCCAGTATGATGATGCTGGACTCGGGACTTAACTTCAAAACGAAGTGCCACGGCCAAAGAACCTCCAGATAGGCAGGACGTTTATTCAGCTAAAAGAAAAAATAAAATCCATGCTGGCGAGCAACGGTGCATCCATTGGATCAAAACTGGACTACACGAAAAGGGCCCAGAGTTTCTTTAAAAACAAAAGCAAAGTGCAAGTTCCTCAAACTAACTTTTTAACTTCCTTAAAGACTCAAATCATATCTATTTTTGTACATGGAAAAATACATTTTCTTCGTAAGTCTTAATTAAGACCAATTAAGCATCCACATACCAACTTTTTAAAAGGGTCTCGAGCTCCCTTCATTGGCCACACCCTGCAGCACACACTAAGGCGCGGTGGAGCGGTTCTAAGACCGGTCACTCCTCCGAGCAGCACATAGGATCTGTCTGCGAAATAACTCTCTCCAGAAAACCGTTCAGAGAACACGTCAGGAACCCTTCGTTCTCATTGAACGATGCTCTGAATGCGGCAAGACGCGCAGGCTCGGCGCACCTGCCTAAGCCCAGCCTCCGGGTCAGCGCAGCAGACGGAATTCTGCCAGGAAGAATGAACTGAAAATCAAACTCGGCAGCAGCCCGCCAACACCTACGGCACTTCTCCTGCGGCACTTTTCAATCCCCATCACTGTTTCAACCTAGCGCCAACTCCTTCAAGCAAACCAAAAGGCTACAGAAAGAGCTAACAAGTACGGTAAGCAGGTACGTAGTTTTGAGCGTACTGGGACACCGCTGTTGGTAACATCTGAGGTAAATCACCTGAGCACAGGATAACCAAGGAGATCAGTTTCATAAATGTACAATATTGGTCTGTCGCAGATACTTTTTTTTCCCTGTGTTACTTCCTGTTGTTCTGAGCTAATTTGGGCACGTTGGTGTTTTCCCCCCTCTAACGTGTCACGGTAGAGTTGTTACACAAAGGAAGTGTGTCATCTCTGTGGTTTTAGTTCTCCACTTAGACTGAACGGCATGTCATTTCAGCTACAGATTTGCTTAAAAAAATACCAGCATTGTCTAAATCTGCTTGCTTTACATTAATGTTCGTTTGCACGCCGCGAGCAGATATATGCACACAGAAACTCTATTGTTAAAGGACTAAATAGCCGAAACACCAATTTTCTTTTGACTACATCTTGGCAAGGTAAGTACACATTTTCCTTCTTCTATTCTAAGTTCCACTTCAAAGTTTCTTAGATGTTGTAGAAAACTGTATGTGAAAGTATTTTTAAAGAAGTTTAAGTAAATAAAAAATAGTAACAATGGGTAGAAATATCTCCAAGTGAAATAAGGAAGCTGATACAACTGTGTTTTTAGCAATGTTAAAGGTTGTTCACAATCGGACTCCAAAGGATTAACAGTGACAGCTGCTGCTCAGCGCTGTTGTTCCTGTGTATCGTGGATCTCAGTGCGTGCTGACAGGAGACCCTATCAATACCAAGGCACAAAGGGTTGAACTAAGAAAGAAAAACCAGCTCTTTAATGATCAGTTCCTTTGCTCTCATGATTTTAGGTGAAGCCCTTAACAGCATCAGCCTGTTTATTTTTAAAAGCAGCCCATGCGGTGCAGAACGCTCCCGCTAACACCGGCCTTGCTGCAGCCCTGGAGGCAGCAGGCAAAGGGAGCTGCAGCACTGGGGCAGCGACACCAAACGCTGGGGTGTGTCTGTACCGGCCAATGTACCTCAGTTCTGCAGGTCATGCAGCAGCTTGATGTGAAATGTTTTGTTTCCAAAAAAAAGAAAAAGGCTTTGCTGTTTTTGTTTTGTTTTCTTTTTTTAAAGTACGCTACAGGGCACCCTCCCAGCAGCCTTTACATGTAAAGATAAAAGTTCTACCTGAGCTGTAGCTGATCACTAAGATGGTTTCTAGTTCAAGCTTAACCATAAGGATTCATCTCAGAATGGATTTTATGTTATGGGTGACTGCAAATTAAAAGACACCTATGTCTTTTGCTGCTCCTCTTCACGTAAGGAGAGACACCCATCGTTTGTCCCCTGGTTACACACCAGGCACATCACTTCTTTCGTTCTCCTGGAGGACTTCAGCAGTTCAAAGTGCTGCCCTTTGGACTTGTATGTTCACCCCTCTGACTGTTGGGAGCGAGTATATTAAGTTCTTTGGTAGGCACACTAACTTGACTATGATAAAAGTGAACATTGTCTGGAATATTTCAAAATTACCTAATCTTAGAAACACACAGATACGCTTTGTTACCTTTAAAGCAATAGCTTCAAGAACAGAGGTATTTATAAAAACAGCACTGTCACTTTTGGCCATTCTCTATAGAATTTATATTTGAACCAAATGTAGTCTGTAACATCCAGAGGAAACATTTTCTTCTGTCAACAGAGATCGGTGAAAGAGACACTGGATGGGATAATAATAAGGCTTATTAATCTCTGGACATGTCTCACATGTGCAAACGGGACAAAGCAGTGGTGAAGTCGTTCACTGCTCGTTTCATTTGTCGCTATTATTTTAAGGTTATTGCCTTAGTATCAGACTGACCCAAAGATCAGTTTCCTGCCCTCCCGACAAATTCAACAGGTACAAATCTGAGTACTACACAAATGCGAAGCAGAACATACTGATGGTAACATCATTTGCATAATTATCTCAGACATTCTAAAGAAAATGTCACAATCTGTAACATGCTTGTCAGAAAGACTCGAGGTACATTTGTGACAAATAGCCTTTTGTACAATAAAGCAGAAAAATTAGAGACCAAAGATTTTTCCTAGGCATTTATGAAATACTCCAGACTGCTGTGCTAAGAAATACGAACCCTGCAAATAAGCTACTGCTGTCACTTACAGGAACATTTCAGATTAAAAAAAGTTTCTCACTTGACCGTCTCTACAAGCATGGCTACATTTCCCACATTCAGGGGAACACAGGAAAGCAAGAAGCAGTAACCTGTAACCTTCACAAGGGTTTCTCCTTTCGCTGTGTGAAAGCAGAACCGATGAACTTAAAAGCTGCGATATGGCCAGCTTTAAAGAGGAGGAACTACCAAAGAGGAGGAACTACCACAGTCTGCCTCTACGTCACCAAGCAGTCAATAGGAAACACTCTCCTTTCTCTGTTTGCTCCAAGGTCTTTCTTAATCTTCATATATGTTCCACAAACCTCAAAGTGTCAGATGTTCAGGACAACCTATTCTTTCACAGTACCAAGCACCTGAACTCGCCCTCCTACATCCACTAAAAATGAGGTCAAGTTATGTATTTTTTTTAATCAAAAAGGCTGTTGCCTACTATTTCCTGAGAAGTGCGATTCAAACCTCTAAGTACCAGCATTTGCTAAACTAATACCACAATTTGTATTTCTACAGGCGACTAAATAGGAAGATGAAGACAAAGAGACACAGCAAACCACACTTGGCCTTCCCTGTTGCGATAATCTTTTCTTTGTGTTTGCGAACAAGCGCAAACCACACCGACTACCCGAGGGTTATAAACACAACCTGGAATTCTATCGGCCAAAACCTAAATGGAAGCCAGAACACACCAGAAGCCAAAACAAGCTCTCCTCTGAGCACCAATTTCAGCAGCAAAACGGTTACTTTCGAAATGCAGACGAGTACCCTCCAACCCTTATCCTCCACAACGGCCCAAAATTCAACACTGTTCCCTGCCACGAGTGCTGTTTCTGCCACAGCGGGACCTGGGAATACCAGCAAACCCAAGGGTACCGTCACAAAAGAAACATGTGAAGACAGTAAGTCTCTGATACTGATTTGCTTCGTTATAATAGCAGTACTTGTGCTTGTCTGCACCTTCTTGTTCCTGTCGACAGTCGTCATAGCAAACAAAATGTCGTATCTCAAAAAAACTCAGCAAGGAAAGCGCCGGCCCAGGAGCAACGGCGATATTCTGGCAAGTAACAGCTTATGGCCAACCGCAGCAGGAACGTGGCAGAGGATGCCTAAGGAGACTGGAACTGACTTGATAATGCAAGAGTTAATATCAGGGAGAGATACTGCGATCCAAAGGAAAACCAAAGATGGAACTACTGAGAAACTCACTAATGAAACAGATAACGAACAGGAAAGCAAAGCACCAAAGTCACACGAACCCATTTTAACCAATTTTGTAGTTGAGATTTAGTTCAATGCTCAGGTAAAAACCCACCTTTTGCCTTTTTTACATCATTAATATAAGGCAAAAACTCAGCTTTCAAGTAACAACATGAATTCTGACATAAGAAAGCTAAATTCAGATCTTAAGTTTTTTTACTTTTATGACGGTGGGAATGCTGTAGCAACTTGTAGATCTAGAAGGGAGCAAGACTGCGTTAAATAGCTTTCTGTAGTGCCAAGAGTGGTTTTACTCCTTTGACCAGAAATCACGATGATCGGAGCTGAAGGGGATAAAACAAAAGGACAGAAGTCTGCCCTTTTTCAAAGATCATTAGGGGGAAAAAAAAGGTTAGTCAAACAAATACACCATACCATAATACGCTACAAAGGTATAACCAAGTTGCTTTTTTAAGAAAAACATCATTCAGTCACAACTTGGACACAATTACTGAATCAGGAACTAGGCCCCCTCAAAATGCCCTTTCAGGTTTTTCCATCAAGAATGTCTTAAACCATCTTTTGAACCAGACTGAGATTTCAAGAGTATTTATTGTGTTTTAACATTGTGTATGAATATATGAAGTTTGTATATGTTAGAATATAAGGACTGTTTCAATTTGTTACCTCCAATAAACTAGCAACAGCAGTTTTTAAATAACTTGCCTTACATGATACTATTTCTCTAAGTCAAAATATCACAGAAAGGCATTTTGGAGTATGATATTCATACAACATTTGCTGAAGGTCAGTAAAGGTCTTCTCTGATGACTAGCTGTGATTTCTTGCATCCCGGAAACACACTCCACTTCGTCCTAATACAACTACTTAGAACACACCAAAAATTTCTTCAAAACCACCACAACTTTTCGTTTCTTTATTCTCATAGAGACCAGATTTTCCAATATTTCTGGGGAGATTTCCGTGTCTGGTCTCACTACAGCAGAGCTTTTGTTATTTTAAGGAAACATGGGAAGCTTTTCACAGGCTACTCGGGTTAAAGAAGATCTGTTGCACCATGGTTACAAGTGCTCAAACTGCCTAATGACAAAGCTCTAAACGCCCTGTGCTTCTGTAATAAACGTTTTTGACACAAGAGGTGGTTGTATGACAGGACCATGCCGTAAGACTGAATCCCCAATTCATATTCCATTACGTCACCCATATACTTAAGTGAAGGGGCAAGTTAAGAAGTAGATAGCGAAGCAAGAAGACAGCGTCATGGAAGCCAAGAGAGCACAAGATCTCAAAAATAAAAACAATGCAACAGCCCACGTCAAAGGTGGCTGGTGTAGCAAGGAAGGTGAAGCTGGAAGGGGTTTGCAAGTTTAGACCACAACTGGGAGTCATTAGAAAATAAGTTCATTGGAGATGGAAGGAAAAAACCAAACTAAACCAAGTACAGGGCAAATTCCAATGAATCTGCCATAAACCACATACTCAGACCTCAGAGCTCAAAGGAGGAGGTACAAGACAAGACACAAGTAGAATGGGAGGACAGGGGATGACGTCAGGCATTTCTAAAACACGAGGAGAAAGGCCAGGAGAAGAATAAGGGCAAACCGTAACAGATCAGTGTGACAACCTAGTGCCTAGAGGAGCTGAAGTGAGAACATCGCACATCGGTGACAGAAAGAGAGCTAAAGGGCAGGGCTGGGGGATGCTGCATTGCAGTTACCTTCTCCTTCCCCCAAATGACCACTAACACAGCAGAGGCCGTGCAAGTATTAAAAAAAGAATCTGAGAGTCTAACCTGGTGTAAAACCGCTCACAGCTAGGAAAGCAGGAGAACTAAACCAGGAGGATGAATCTGTAAGAGTTAGCCAGGCGGCACAGAGGAGCCCAGTAAGCTGCCAGCAGGCAGCAGGTTAAAGGGGTAAACCAGAAGGGTCATGAAATAAGCAAACAAAAAAGGAAAGAATAGTGATCCTATCGGTGAAAGGAAGGAAAAAACCCAACCTGTCAATGAGGTGGGAACTGCGGCAAAAGACAGGCGGAGACTACGAGGGCTGAAGAGAATGGGGATGAGATGAAGGAATGTGACAAGAAACTACGAGTTACATCGTAAGTGTGGGATCGGGATTCGTGTTTGCTGGAGGAGCGGGGAGAGTCTGAGAAAGAGAACTAGTGCCATCAGAAGGGAGGCACAACAGGAACAGCAGGAGACGATGAAGCTGCAGAAGGATCTGGCAGTAGCTGCTTGGCATTGGCAGAATACACTTGCAAAATGCTGGGAGCACATATTTGTGAGAGGTTTCTTTTTGCCACGCAGCCTTTCCAGGCAAAAATGCCCAAGGAGACAAAAGAAAAGTCGTTTGGGTTACAGTGCTGGTATGGACAAAGACAGACAGTGGGAAAACAGCTGCTGAGAGCGCACAACCCCCTGTTAACGATGGCAGCAGCTACCAAAGCTGTCCAGACAGGACAATAACATGGGTGCAGGAGAAGGGTGAAATTTGTAGTTATTTGCCTTTTAATGCAACTACACAAAAGAAGATGCGCAAGCAAGTCAGCATCCCGTGATCAGATCGCTTTCTATGACTCACTGTAACGAACCTAAGGTTGCTTTTCCACTAATAAACATACCAGCGCACCAAACCCACCACTGAAATTAAATCAGTAAGATTCAAATCCAGTCCAAACCTGCATAATTTCTGACTCACACAGAAGTAACTATAACTATTTTCAAAGACAAGCAAACAAGCATTTATGAATTTCTATGTAACAGGCACACAGCAGACAAAAGCCACAAAATTTGAGTTTTATAGAAACAGAGCTGAAAAGTTTGCTCGTAAAGCACACGAACTCTGAGGTAAAGCTCTTAGTAATCTCCCCACTCTTGACGCTTCCGGCAGCAAGTGTTGGTAAACTTCCTCCTCAGCTGCAGAGACCTACTTCAACATGAACCGAGCCATTTCAAGCTGCCTGACTTCCAGCACACAGTCTGTCTTCCTGAGGCTTCAACCAAAGAGTAAGACGATGCTCGCTTGATGGAAGATAAACGCGCAGGTAAGAATCAACTTCAAGATGGAAACGCTTCGTATTTGTATTATTGGGTGTGAAACAGAACTGCCCTGCGCACGGCCCCGCCTGCGCCCCGGCTGCAGGGTGTATGCAAAGCTCTTGTTGAGTGTCTGCATCTGAACTGCGGGAGGGTTTCAAACACATGCGATGTTGTTACTCTGAGCTATCATGAACTCTACATCCAGGTATTATTTGACTGTATTTGGAAGAGAGGGGGCAGAAGAAAAATGAAATGGAATCATTTTTACCTGTTATGAACCTTAGAGTTTGGATCATTAGATCGTAACGTCCTCAAGAAGCATTAGTTTATTACTCATGTGTTTACACTGCTGCAGCTGAAATTTCATTTTGCCTATTGTAAACCCACAAAGATTTGTGCATATTAATTTCCCAGAAACAGCTTCACATGACCAGCACTATAGCAACTAATAAATTAGCTCAAACTGCACGGAAGTAACTTCAGATAGAAGCCTGCGATGTAGTCGATGTATTTTATACCATTTATTTCATACGGAGACATTCAGAGACCTGAACTCTAAACAGCACAGGAAAAAAAAGAAATCTGTTTCATGCCAACAACTGAAGATTAACACAATCTCCTCCATTACAAAAAGTGCTCCACACACGGGAATTTATTTATAAAAACATGTTCCATTACAGCATTTGGAAACTTTTAAAAAATTACTATGCTCTACCCTTAACTGCTGAAGAGAGGCAAGAACAGGAAATAAAAGTTTAAGAGAACTGTAAAAAGCCTTTTACTTCAGTCTCAGCTTATACCCATCAAAGCAAGCCGATTTTCTTTACTCATGACAATCCTGGCTGTCAATACTGCTGCGAGCGTTTCATATGTTGTTCCAGGTCCAGAACTATTTATACTATTGATAAATGTTGTTATTTTGAAACTCTTGACAGGACTTCTGTGCTGATGCCTCTTTCTGATAAGGTGAAAAAAGGTAATAATAACCAAGACATTCTGTTCAAAAAAGTCACTTGGTCAGAATGAGCAATAAATGTTGGAAATCCGCTTGTTGTTTGTACAGGCAGTGACAAACCCGCTGGTTATGCAAACGGGAACAGGCATGAAATTTCAAACACTGGGTCTAATATTATTTTCACCACTATAGTATTAACCAAAAACTGTCTGGTGTCAGTGAAGTGTAACAGCACAACCACCACAG